AGTTCGTTCAACCTGGACATGATTCGCGCAAACTCATCGTCTCCAAATTCCTCTTCTGCAGTCACTCCTCCTGGAAGACCAGAAGGCTTCTTTACACCCGACTCAAGCACAGTTGCAGAAGAATCTTCTTCTTCTACATAATCTTCTCTTATCTCAACAAGTCCTTCCTACAAAAAACAACAACACCGCTAAAGATACATATGCAGAATGTAAACGGAAAATGCACAAAGAAACCAACTATTTTAACAAACATACCGCTGYTTCCGAAGCAGTTGAAGTGAAAAACGAAGCCTCCGCTTGAAAATCATCAATCTCAGCTTTAAGAGAATGAATTTGAGACTGTAAAGTCTTGTCTCTTCTCTTCAAAACCTCAATCGCTTGTTTCGATGTTCTATCGGTATAGTAATTCTCTCCCAACAACACCTGTGTGAATCACACAACAAAATCCTTGACACTAAGCTTCTATAGGTTACTAGTAAGCTCCTAAACCTCATCAAAGCATAGCAAAACGTGACTATGTAAAATTGCATATACCCTACAACTAAAATCGAAGAAGAAGTATAAAACCATCATGAAAACATACCAAACACTCGTTGGTGTGGATCAATCGACCTGGGAAAAAAGCCATTTTACCGAATGGAACCTGTGTACACAAATCATCATATACATCAAAACGAGTACTGAAATTGGATTTAAAAGGGGAAAACGGATGGATTGAAACTCGCCATAACGTTGTGATGAAGCTGATCGGGAAGTTTTTTTAGGAGATTGATGAGATTGGAGTTATCATCGACGAACTTTTGAAGACGATTCAACTCTTCCCGCTTCTCTCCGATTTTCTCCTCCACGTAACTTGCAGCTTTCCTTGCCTCCTCCGGTGAGAACAGCGAAGCTAGCGGCGTCACTGTTCCTTTCGCCGGCGGATCCATCCCGGTAAGGGTTTAAGCACGACGATTGCAGAGAAGGGAACCAAAAAAAAAAAGAAAAAGAAATCGAGAGGGAAGCAACCTAACATCAAAGGCTTATTATAAGCTATATAATGAACTTAATGGGCCGATTTGTTATGGCCCAATTTATGACTCTTTCGAAAATAAAGATTCATTTGCTTAATAAAAATTGTAGTTTTTTTGTATAACCGTTCAAATTGTAATTGCATCAAAGTTTGTAAATTGTGATTGATACCATTGTTACTTTTTTAGGCTACCACTAACAAGTGTATTAGAGTTTAGTTATTATTTTAATATTTTTACTAATCGTGATTATTTAAAGAATTATGATTCGTAATATATTATTACTAGAATAGGATCCGCG